AAATAACAGGAATAACAGGAATGAGAACAGGAAATAATGGGAGTGAGAATGGGGGAAAAATGGGGGTAACGGGGAATGGTAACGGGAATGATAACAGAGTACCAGGAATGGTTACAGGATAATGGGAATGATAACAGGGGAAATAACAGGGAAAATAATGGAAATGATAACGGGAATGACAACGCAAATGGTAACAGAATGAAAATGAGAATAATGGGAATAATAGTGGGAATAATAATGGGAATAATAATGGGAATAACGGAAAATAATGGCAATAATGGGAACGATAACGGGAATGATAATGGGAAAAATAACAGTGTAACGGAAAAATAATGTGAAGAATAATGGGAATGATAACAGGAATAAAAGGAATGTAATGGGAATGGTAATGGGGTAACAAGATAACGGGAATAATAACAGGAACGATAACGGGAATGGTAACGGGAATGATAACAGGAATGATAACAGGAATGATAACGGGAACGATAACAGGAATGATAACAGGAATGATAACGGGAATGATAATGGGAACGATAACGGGAACGATAACGGGATCGATAATGGGAATGATAACAGGAATGATAACGGGAATGATAATGGGAATGATAATGGGAATAATGAGATAAGAAAATAATGGGAATGACAACAGGATAACAGAAATTATAATGGGATTAATAGGAATGGGGAAATGGGATAACGGGAACAGGGAACGGAGCAGTGCTGTGGGATGGGGATGGGGATGGGGATGGGGATGGGGATGGGGATCAGGATCAGGATCAGGATCAGGATCAGGATCGGGATGGGGATCGGGATCGAGATCAGGATGGGGATCGGGACGGGCTCACCTGCCGTCCCCCAGCCCCAAGCACACGGCCGGCCGGGGGGCGCTCGGTGCCGGCTCTGGGGCCGTTCCGGGCTCTGTGGGGTCTGCGGGGTCGTGGGGCTGCGGCTCCGGGATCAGCTCCATGCACAGCACCGGCGCCGGCAGTGGCAGCGATTTCACCGTGCGGGGCACGGAGCGGCTCAGGGACAGGATCTCCAGCTGCCCGCCCGCCCCCGCACGGCCCCCGCCCACCTGAGCGGAGAGGGGCTGTCAGAGCCGGACCCCAAACCCGGGTGCCAAACCACAAACACCAAAACCCAAATACCAAACCATAAACACCGAACCCCAAACCCGGATACCAAACCACAAATACCAAACCCAAACCACAAACCCCGAACTCTTGATCCCAAACCCCAAATACCAAAACCCAAACCCCAAACACCAAACCCCAAACACCAAACCACAAACCCCAAACCCCAAACCCCAAATCCCAGATCCCAGGCCCCAAATACCAAACTCCAAACCCAAAATCCCAAATCCCAAATCACAAACCCCAAATCCCAAACCCCAAACCCCAACCCCCTGATCCCAAACACTGATCCCAAACCCCATGATCCCAAACCCCGGGATCCCAAACCCCAAACTCTGCAATTCCAAACACCAAACCCCACAGTCCCAAACCCCACAGTCCCACACCCCACAATCCCGCACCCCAACCCCCACA